CCCTACACAGATGAACAGAAAGAGTAGAATTTGCCTGGGCTTTAATGTGACATTCTGTGACATGGGGAAGGGCGATGGTTAGTACATACAAACCTCAGAAAAGCATATATTCTAACAACAAAAACAAAACCCACTGATCGAACAGCTAAGTAAAACCAAGCCACTGTTCCCATCCCAACTACCACCGCCCAGGCCCAGCCCGAACTACATTTAGCACCTCATCCTGATCAGAGGCAACAGGCAGTTCCTGCTGCACCAAGAGACACCAAACTTGCCTTGGCCAACGCCGACTGAGAGTCCTGCTTGCGTGAAAAGCTTAATACGAACAAAGTCTCCTAACAAGAGCAGCTCTATCTGTAAAGAGTTCAATGGCCTAAGTTTTTCTGGAACTAAAGGTTAGACTTTCTAAGAGGGAGGAGAGCCAAATGACATGGTGACTGCAACCGAATCTGCTAAGATTTCAACAGGAGCCCGACAGCTCCAGCAACCTCTCCCTGAAACGTACCGGGTCTCTGCCCAGGAATAAAGGACTTCCCAGGTCAGAGAAGAAAAAAAAGCTTAATGTACATTAGTTTGTAGCTAGAGAATACTGACTTAAAACAAAACAAAACAAAACCAAAAAAACCCTGACCCTATCCTTCAATGGAGGATTCTGGAGTGTTAACATAACTCTTCCACGGGCAGGTGGGTAGATGCTGACTGGCTGCTTGCTGCCTCTCACTCCCCAGGCAGCTTTCAGCAGGGTCCCTAGGACCAGGATTTCTAAGTCAACCTGATTTGGAAAAGTTTGGGTTTACTGAAGCAAAAGGACTTTTTGGGTACGAAAACCAGGCAGAACTGGGGTTAAGTCTGACAGATACCACTTAGTGCTAACCTGCCATAGAGTGAAAAGGAGCTGAAGAAACAGCTCCAAGACCCACTTCATGTGGTTTCTGTCAGGGGAGTCAAACAAGGCAAGAGTTCAAAGACCGCTCTCCTGCAAAATGGCCTCTGAGCAGCAGCACAAAGAACATGCACACAGCTTCGGTCAATTGCCCCAAGGTCCCTACTCGCAGCTTCACCTCTGGTGTGCATCTATGACCACAGCATACGACCATCAACCCTCAGGGTTTGGGCAGATTCTCTCTCTTCTAGCAGTGGTCAGAGAACCAGTTGCATCAGAATCACCTTGAAAGTTGCATTTCATTAAGCAGAGATTCTCAGATACCACCCCCAGAAACTGTAAATTTAGTAGGTCTGGGATGGGGCCTAGAAAATCTGTATTTAAAAAAATATTTCCCCAAGTACAAACTGTATGATCATTTCGAGTGTCTATCAAAATGGAAAAGGCATGCACAGCTCTTTGGTCTCGGCCGCCGACATGCCATCCAGAATAAGGAAGACCCGGAAACTTAGGGGCCACGTGAGCCACAGCCACGGCCGCATCGGCAAACACCGGAAGCACCTGGGAGGCCGCGGTAATGCTGGTGGCATGCATCACCACAGGATCAACTTCGAAAAATATCACCCAGGATACTTTGGGAAAGTTGGTATGAGGCATTACCACTTAAACAGGGACAAGAGCTTCTGCCCAACTGTCAACCTTGATAAACTGTGGACCTTGGTCAGTGAGCAGACACGGGTAAATGCTGCCAAGGGCAAGACTGGAGCTGTTCCTATCACTGATGTGGTGCCATCAGGCTACTGCAAAGTTCTGGGGAAGGGAAAGCTCCCAAAGCAGCCTGTCATCGTGAAGGCCAAGTTCTTCAGCAGAAGAGCCGAGGAGAAGATTAAGGGTGTGGGTGGGGCTTGTGTCCTGGTAGCTTGAAGCCACATGGTGGGAGATTCATTAAATGATGACAAGTGAAAAAAAAAGAAGAAAAGGCACGCACAAAAAAATGCATGCACCCTTTGAGACAGCAAGTCCACTGCTGGGAACATCTGTGCCTGTGAAGTTTTATCAAGATACAAGGACAAGGACGTTCCCTGTGTTATTTGGAATAGCAGAGAACTGGGAACAACCAACAGAGCCATCAACAAGAGAATGATTACATGATGTAAGCACATCCAACAGAATGTTCTATGGAATGCTAGGCAACTATTAGAGTATCACTATGAAACAATCTCTAAGGACACTAAATTTTAAAAAACCTAATCAAGGGGCAGCAGAGTGCTACAATTTAAAACACAATTGCTAATTTGTGTTTTAAATATATATGTACATACACATATACATATTTCTATCAATAGATGATAGATATATGCTGATATCTGCAGAAAAAAATTTTAAGGCAAACTTCCCCACCTGTTAACAATACCCTGGAGGAGAAGGTGGGGGAGAAGGGCTGGGGATGGGGAGGCTTTCACAGTCAGTACTATTTGCACCTCTAACCAAGTGCACCTATTGCTTTGATTTTAGTTTTTAATGTCAGTAGGGGGTTGTCTGGATCATGGCATTACAGGCAATCTTTATGTCCTCCTCCACTTGTCTGTTCTGTCTTAATGCCCTAAGAAACCAATTTAAAGTTCACCAGGTGATTCTGATGTGTAGGCAGATCTGGGAGCCACTGAAGAGCCTGGCACCTCCAGGTCATGCAAATATTACACCTGACAACCCACAAAAGGTGGACTAAAGGTGCAACACAGGTGCACTTTCTGCACCACACTGGTGACAGGAGAGGACTCCAGAGTATATTGGGATGGATCCCAGGGTCGAGGAGGCAGGCTTTATTAGGCTTTAAGGCCTAAAGCAGATAGCCATTTCTGAAGCTTTCCCCAACCAGCAGATGAAGTGAGGGGCAGACAGGTTAAACCTCCCAGCCAGACACGAATAGGTGTCCCTTCAGAACAGAGGGGATGTGAGTTACAGGAAGGGGGATGAGACACACAGCAGCAGAAAGAAGAAAAGAAAATATTAAATTGTGATACACTGCTTACAGACAACCAAGAGGACAGAGAACGGAACAAAAACAGATCAGTGTTCATGTCCTCAGCCCTTGGGGTCAGGAATCTAGGACCCCCATGGTAGAATGATCATCCTGATGCCTTCGGGCTGCCCTCCAGAAACAGATGTTTGGCCGCTAAAGAACCAGTGCGCTAAGAAGTCCCTCTGAATGTGCAGGTTTCCAGACCAGGGACTTTTAACTTGGATAGTATCATAAAAGAGGATGCCAGACTTAAAAGCATCAAGACTGTTGCAGCAGAAGCACATCTTAAATAAACTAAGACTAGCAGAAAGAAGAGCACGTGGAAAGAATGCCAATATGTGGACAGTATGTGCTTTAAGGGTTTTTTTTTTTCTCTCTCATTAGAAAGAAGAGAGTAAGTCCCCATTTGAAAATAATTTTAAGCAGTAACATTTAAGTATCTTCTGATCCAAAATATCAGCCTTTTTAGACTAGTCCTAGAAGGATAATTATAGCAATTTTCTGAGTTAAAATGATCAGGAACACCTAATGAAGGAAACGGTCATCATCTAAATATTTCATTTATCTAAAGGAGTATGATGCTACTAGAACACAATAGTATATGAGTAATCACTACTGGTGAGATTTAAAAAATATTATAGATTCATTACCTAGAATAGATTGGGCTAATTTGATATTAGTGAATTATAAGATTTTGGTCAAGAGATGCTTTAAGGACAAATATTGAGATGCTTAACATTCAAAGTGCTGTTACCGAATCACGAGTTAGTACTGGAAGAAGGAAAGATCAAAACAGAAGATGACTTTGGTTATTACACCAGATGCAGAGTACACACAAGACACATGGCAGGGTGGAGGTCTCAATGAACAGCTGAGGACATGAGGGCTTCTGAGTCTCTCACAAAAAAGTAGACACATATAATCTTCCACAGGAAAGAGAGTAAGTTATAGCTAAAATGGACCAAATGTCCAAACATCACTCTGAAGCAGAACTTTAAAGTGCAGGGAAATCAATTCAAGAATCACAGAGATGTTCTCACTCCATGCTAAAAAAAACCCATCCAATACATGGTCACAAAATACAGACATGAAAGTGGATGAGTCTAAGAGCTGCCCTCTTGGATTAAGATGATGGGGCTTGGAGAGGGTACAACAACCGTCCTGCTTCCATAGACAGGACTGTACTTACATACTGAATGGAAACTTAGTGGACCAATGGTAAAAGATGATATCAGAATCTATTCCTAAGAGGTGGAAATCTTTTCTGTCATCCTCTCAATGAATAACAAGGACATACTTCCCAAGAGCACACATGTCCCATGCTCTCGATATAATTAAAAAGAATTCTGCTGCACTGTTTGCCACCTCTTTAAACCAAACGTGATGGTTTGTTGGTTTTAATTCACTCACTGTTGCAGCCGCTGCTGCCTCTAGTCCCTGTTGGCTTGGGGTTGGGCGGACTGGGGCCTCCACAGGTTGCCCCTTCCTGGTAGTGAATGGAAGAAAAGAGGAAGGGAGAAGGAAACAAAGGAGGAAGGGAGTGAAAGGGGAGACGAATGAGGGCACATGGAAGGATGAAGATGGTCAGAAAAGGGAGAAGGCAGGTCTTGTAACTCAGCTGCTCTCCAATAGGAGTAACAATCTAACAGCCGCATGAGTCATGCAACACGATCTTTTGGTCTTTACCAGGCAATATAATAAGTAAGCATTATTGCATAGCCAGAAATGGACATCTGGCATCTTAAGTGTGTGTGTGTATGTGTGTGTGTGTGTAATTCAGGTGCACACATACATACATTAAGTAAACACAAGTATGTATGCTGTTTTTTAAAAAGAAAAAAAGTTAATGTGCTTTAAACCAAATCTTTCCCTGCCCCGGATGTTTTGGTTGGTGAAAGTATCACGGTCTCATTTTAAAAGAAAATATATCAGCGTCAGCCCTGTGGTTGCCTAGGCAAACCACATGAGTGGGTTCACCTGTCTGCAGCTCTTGCAGCCTTGCTTTGGCTGATGCTGCATCGAGACAGGCCCAGACCTGGATTTTGCTGAGCACAACATGAGTAAAGCGTGATCAGGAGGTAAAAACTTATGACTTGTTCTCACTACCTGGGCTACTCAAAGCTGAATCTGGATGTCTGAGCAGCAATTACATGCTTGGTTTTGGTTTTTTTCATTTCAGCAGGTCTAGTGTTCATGCTGGGATACACAAATGCATTTTAAGAGAATACAGGTTATGCACAACTCATTATATCCAATGAGGAATTTGCCTTGATCTTAAAATAAAGTCTAGTAATCTTTCAGCCACAGAAATACACCCACCAAATGCTTCCTCCTCAAATATTGATGGCGAAGGACCAATGGTTTAAACAGCAGCATCCAAGGGACACACAGCAGCGCAACCACTACCAGGAAACACTGAATTCCTTTCTGCAAAGTAAGAAGGACAAGGCACATCACATTAATCAAATGTGCAGTTTCCAACTCCGGCACAAATTCCCTCTAAAATAGTACTTTCCTGCCGATTTATGAATAAATAACACAATCCAGTTCCTCAAAATAATTAGCAGATGTTGTGGCAAAGGCCAGGACTGTCCCATAGGATGAGTTATAAATTCTACCCTTTCTGCATACAGAAGTTACAGTTCACGCTCCCAAAGGAGGAGGATGGGCTGAATTTAGATTTGGATGTGTGGGCTGATGGGGATTTTTTTTAAGGCTTTTTTTTTTAATGTGGACAATTTTTAAAGTCTTTATTGAATTTGTTACAATATTGCTTCTGTTTTATGTTTTGGTTTTTTGGCCGTGAGGCATGTGAGATCTTAGCTCCCCGACCAGGCATCGAACCCACAACCCCCCTGCACTGGAAGGCAAAGTCTTAACCACTGGACCACCAGGGAAGTCCCTAAGGCTTTTTCACGGTCACAGAAACATCTGGCTTCCTGACCTAGGAAAACCACCTAAGACAGTCTACCTCTGGGTTGACGCACCTGTCCAGAATACAGCATCGAATTACCAGAGTCCCCATAGGAAAAGAGGAACATGTTTATGAAATGGATCAGAAGACTTGGTGCTTTCTCAGATGTGTGAGCATCATAGGCTGTCCACTTGTAAAAAATAAGGATAACCAAGTAGCCAAACAAAGAGGTCATGAAGATTATTTCCGGAATAAATCCAAAGTAGATATTCAGGGGCTTCTTGAAATAGCTAAAAAGTAAGAGAGAAAAAAAGGTTAAAGGTGAACAGACCCAGGGTCACCCCCATACCAAGTATACTAGATTTTCTACCTAATGCTCCCTCAACTCTATGTATATCATTTGAAGAAGCAAAAGCCAGAAGAACTGGAGGCAACAGAAACAAGCAGGATTAACTATGACTACCAAACGTTTGGACCGTGAACAGCTCCAATACCACCCCTACCAATCTCTCATGAGGAAGAGATAGGAAAATCTAGTACATTCTGAGACCACAGTTCATAAGTTTATGTGAGTTACACATCAAGGGAAAAGAACATAACTCTCATTTTGATGAAAATTACACAAGGTTTTTTTAAAGATATTGAGTATGACTGTACATTGTTAAGGGACTAATATTAAGCAAGCTTCATTCAAACAAATGAGATTTTTATAAAAGCATTTCTTTAACATAGAACAGTGTTCTGAGTTATTAATCCCTCCTTAGAGGTGTTATGATTTCTTTAGGCAAAAGCACTGTCTGAACTAAGTGCATTCTTATGATGAAACAGAGTGACTCACGTATGGTTGAAAAGGCTCAGGCTGACTCCAAACATCATGTGGATGATACCAAGGATAACAGACATCTTCATCTTAAAGGAGTTGAGGAAGGTCAGTTTATTGGTAGCAATGTTCCAAATCTGTCACAACCCAAGAAAACAAAAAGGCATTACAAAGAGTTCTCAAATGGAAAAATATTCACCTATTCTAAAAAATAGTTGTGTTCTTTTTTAATTACAGAAAATGCTAAACATATACATAAGCAGAGAGAATAACATAACAAACTCCCATGTGCCTATGGCCCAGCTTCAACGATTATTTACTGACTCCTTGTCAATCATGTTCATCATATCCCCAACCCACTCCCCACCTCCATATTATTTTGAGGCAAAGTCCAGATACTATGCCATTTTACCTGTAAATATTTCAGTATGGATCTCTAAAAGGTAAGAACTCATTTTTAAAACATGACCACAATACTGTTATCATACCCCAAAGCATTAACAATGTTTCTGTAATACCCTGGAATTGTTAGTATTCAAATTTCCCCACTTGTATCCATACTTTTTAAAATAATTCATTTATTCAAAGTGGGGTCCAGACAAGGTCTATAACAATGATTGCTTGATACAGCTTTTAAGTCTCTATAGGTTCTCCCTCCAGCTCTCCTTTTTTATTCATTACAAAAGATTTGTTGAAGAAATTGGGACGTTTATCTTGTAGATGCTCCCACAATCTGTATTTTGCTGACTGAAACCCAGTGGTGCTGTCCTTCCATCTATTTTTAAACATTAATTGCCTTATGCTTTGTCACCTAAGGCTTGGATGCCTGTAAAATTTTCCTGACAGTTCTGCCTCCACTTGGCCATCAGATTATGTTTCCTAAATCGTGCCTCCGAGGCAGTCATTCCCTGTGCTAAAACCTCCCAGAACCCCTACTGTCATCTCTACGATAAAGAGCAAACTCTGTATCCTGATAAGCCAGATCTTCCACCATCTAGCCCGGCATCTTTTTTTCTGAACTGGCCTCCTCATGAAGAGCTCATCCTCGGTGACCTCTAACCTGACAACTTGTGGCTGGTTCTCTCTGCAGCCCCAGTTTTGCCCGACGTTCTGCAACTCCAACTGCCTGATGGACTTTTATACCCGGGTGTCCCACAGGCACTTTAAACTCAGTATCTACCCTGTAAGCACCAAATGAGGTGTCTGCAAAAAAAAAATTCTGTAACTACAGAACACTACCTAAATGTGAGATAATATTATTATTAGATTCCAAGTTACTTGAGGGCAGGAGCTGTGTTTTAGAATTACGTGTTTCCCCCAGCAGGCACTATGCCTTGCAGACGATAGGGATTCAGTAAACAACTGTTAAATGCACATATGAAATCTTATTAAATATCTCCAAGCCTTAGTTTCCTTATCTGTATAATACAGATAGCAGTACCTACCTGATAGAATTGTTTGGGCATAAATCAGACATGCTGAGGGCTCAGTACAGTCTCTGAGCTATAGTAAGCATTTCAGTACCATTAATTTCTAAAATAATTAAAATAATTAACTTTGTATCTCCCTACGTCAATGCTTTTGCACACACTTCTCTTCACCTATAACAATCTGAAATATTTTTCAAAGGCCAGATTAATTCCCATTTTTTACAAGAAACTTAATCTTTCTGGTCCATAATGATCGGCTTTTCCTCTGGAATTTTGTAATCCTTACAATCTAACGTTTAGGCTCAAATACCACACACACCCCTGCCCCCGCCTCCCCTGTTTAAGCACATAAGCACAAAAGACTTGATCACACTTTACTTGCCTAAGTATTTGAAAAAAAATAAAATTCTGGGATAAGTTTTTGTCTAAGTATGTAAAGATAAAGAATGGAAATCTAAAATCCATAGAAAAGAGCTATTTTTCTTTGTTAAAACATCTGCTAAAAATGAAAACCAAACTAAGTTAAACAAAAATAAACTGGGAAGGAGTCTTGAAAATCAATCTTCCCAGAGTCAGTATTATTAGCCACCTCTAAAATAAGGAGTACAGGAAAAATTACTTGGCTCCCCAAGGCATCTGGATCTCTTGCAGCTTTAAAGTGCTCTGGACAGATACACTGAGGTTTTCTAAAAATATGTTAACTAAAACCCAAATAACTATTTATCTTCATTTTCATTCTCTCACTTCTGGGTTTCAGTTAAAACATTTGGTGTCAGACATATAGAAAAGAAGTGCTCTTACTGGATCGATGCCAAAAGGATATGGTCCACCGAAAACTCCATGGACAGCTGGGTTCAGCTGGAGGACAGGGTTTCCCCGAACCGTCTCTTCCCTACCGTGTTAGGAGAAAAGCTGCATTTATTTTTTATTCAAGAGAGGGAAATTACTGGGGTCCAGAAACTGATCCCCAAAGAAACAACTGATACTATAGCTATTTTGTCTCTTCAATAAAAGAGGAGGGATTAGCATCAGAGAGTGAGAAGGGATCAGAGATAACAAAAAGAAAAATTAAACACACATACAAGACCAGATAGAGAAATTGGGGAACCCGCTTTTAACTTACAAAAAGAATCAATGTTCCTTAACAATGCTGAACAAATCACAAAGCACTTCCCAGACTGCAGCATAAATAAGAGGAGACACTACATTCTTTTGGAATAGAGACAGTGTCAACCGCTTCCTAAAGAAGTGTTAGTTTACCACTTGTCTGGAAAACCAGAGCTGAACACGAAAGAAATAAGCTTTGACTTTCAGCTTCTTTGCAACTTACGTCCAATTGTATAAAGTAAACATTGGCCGCACACTCCAGGATGACCCGAAGATATTGAGAGACTTGGAAAAGCAATCATTGTAGATGAGGCCCGTGTAGATGGAGAACACACCCATCAGCAGAATAATGTACCGTCCGCTGAACACAGTGCTAAACATCTGGGAGCCAGGAGAAAGAGGTCAATGAAATGTACTCATTAGCTGCAGCTAATGTCGTGACAGTGTTATTTAGAATGTACTAGACCCTTCCTCTCACACCACTCTTACCCCATTCTGGGTCAGAGAGCTTGAAGTAAAGACCAAAATACAACGCTAACAAGAAATTTACTTTCACAGCACGTGACCTCTTTAGTGTTAAAATGAAAATAACTTCTCTATTCTCTAAATAGTCTCTATAACTTCTCTATAAATTCATGGATCAAAGATTTCCAGATAATTTTCATAATGAATGCTTGAGAAATTATGAAGTTTCAGACCGACACCGATGTAACTTAAACATTACCTCGTTCTTGAATTAACTAGTGGTCACCAGTGGGGAGAGGCAAGGGGGGAGGGACACGATAGGGGTAGGGGATTAAGAGGTACAAACTATTATGTATAAAATAAATAAGCTACAAGGATATATTGTACAGCACAGGGAATAGAGCCAATATTTTAAAATAATTATAAGTGGAGTATAAAGTTTTTGAATCACTGTTTGTACACCTGAAACTAATATAATATTGCAAATCAACTATATCTCAATAAATAAAAAAATAAAAATATAATAAATACACTTCCATCAATCATGCTAGAGGAAAGACTGAATTATCCTTCTGTCTGTACAAAATTATTATAATCATGTATTGCCCTATGAAGAGACAATGATAGTAAGCAGCCAAAAATTATACGAGAAAAATATTAGAAATATGTCAAGAAAATAATAAAATTATCTTATGTTTCTGAGTTTCTATCAAAAACAAACAAAACATTACCTCATTCTCATTCTTCTGGGAGAGGATCCGGCTCTCCCTTAACACCATCCATACAGCAAAAAGGGTCATCAAAATGCCGTGGCCAAAGTCCCCAAACATCACAGCAAATAGGAAAGGGAAAGTGATGATGGTATATGGAGCTATAAAGAAACCAAAGAAGGAAAAAGACCAAGTACAGAAAACCGCAGCAATTCCGAACATATCACATCCCTCTCCATCATCTAAGATCAATATAAGGTGACTTATTCCCAAGCTGTTGGTCAGAGAGACTCGCAGGGGATAACTTTCACGGCAGGATCTGCACAGTAGCTCTGGTGGCATCCCAGCTACTGCCAGCATTTTCAACAGAGAACCTCATGGGAAATCAAAGTTTTGTCTCTAGCCTTGGCACCAGTGTGGTTTGTTCTTTGATTCCTTTCTCTCACCCCTGGGACACTGCTCCTGGGGCAGGCCAGCTTTCCTCCCTTGTATAGTAACCAGCTGAAAAAAGCCACTGGGTGAGTGGGAGAAAGCCCAGAACCTGGAGCAAAGCAGGTCCTGCAGAAGGCTCCCACTGAAAATGAATTCTCAGACTCTGGATTTAATCATTAACTCTCTGAACAGAGGAGAAATCTGCCTTGTGCCTAAAATGGTCAAAAATTGCTATATTTTCTCTGTCTAACCTGGAACAGGGAAGCTATTTTAAAATATCAATTACCTTGGAAAAAAACTTTTTGCTTAAAGCAGTTCCAGCAAATGGTGTGCAAGAGAAAGCCAGGTGCTGTACAGCCGCGAGGGCAAAGAGAGGAATCCAATCCATGGAGCTCATTCCTATAAAACTCCTATAAAAACACCTCCTAAAGGGGTGCCACCCAGCGATAAACCTCACTCCCTGCATCCAAACAGGCACCTCCTCACAGGAAATTCACAACAGCTGAGGCCTTGACAACATCTTTAGTTTTAAGCCAATTGTGTTCAATTGCATTCAGAGTGAGGCACTGAAAGAAATAACAAAGAATAAAACCTCTAAGAGGGAAAAGATTCAAGCTTTTTTACCTGGATTTATCTCTCGGTAAGTTCCAATTCCATAAGCATCCACTATGTTCTGAAAGCCACATGTGAACTTGTTGGTTTTGTTATAGGTTGGGGGAGTCTGGTTTGTCTGCATCCTGTTCAGGATGGAGGGCACAGTGGAGCCACTGTGTTCCTGGGAAACATAAAGCACATATTTCAGAGTCAGGTCACCCTCCTAATTGTGATGGTGGTTACACAGGCATATACATTTATCAAAACTCATTGAACAGTACACATAAAATATGTGTATTTTCTTTTATGTAAATTATATCTCAAGCTTTCCGGTCTTTGGGGAAACTGGAACTAGCTATAAAATTTACAATGAAAGATTTAAATGAAGTCTCAGGAAAACTATCCTCACCATGAAAAAAAAAAATTCTAAAATATGTAACCAAAGAAAATGTGGTACCTCCTCTGGAGACATCCTTATCTGCCTGTCTACAAGTGTCATTGTTCTCTTCTCCTTTTATGGAGGAAGCAAAGTTATTCTCTGACTTTCTTCCTTCGCCACCTACTCTTAAATCCCTAATCCTTGTAGTCTAGCAGAGCACACTTAGCCAAAGCGGCTGGCTCATCACCGGATCCAGAGGGCTTTTCTCTTATATGCAAGCCCCTGACACTGGAGAGCTACCTCTTCTGCTTACCAACCATGCCTTTCCTGTCTCTTTGCTGGCTCTTCCTCCCCTGCCTGTAACACTGCAGGGCCCCAACATTCTATTATTAGCTCCTTATTTTCTCTCTTGGAGGTCTCACGCCCTTCCAACCTCATGCAACCCATTTCTTTCATGTTGCCCTTTCTTTTGAGAACCTATCCCATTTTCTGCTTGAGATTTCCATGTGGATTTCTGTCCAACCCCTCAGTGTGACTGAAACTGAACTTATCATCTTTCTCCTATCAATAAGTTTCTCTTGCTGAACTTTTACTTCCATCAGTGAAACTATTATTCTACCAGCCACTCAGCTTTCAGGCCTCAGAAACATTTTAATTTTTTTCTCCTTGTACTTCTCCTGCACATTGCTAAATACCAAATATACCAATTGATACCTCCTTCAGAGTGTCTCACAAATTCATCATTATTTGCTTTTTACTGCAGGGGTCACTATCACTTACTGCTCTGTGTTTACAATAACCTCCTAACTGAACCCCTACTTGTAGACTCTCTCTACTCTCCAATCCAACCCAGATGCTATCAATGGATTACTCATTTTATTCTATTTATTTATTTATTTGGCCACTCCTCGAGGCATGTGGGATATGGGATCTTAGTTTCCTGACCAGGAATCAAACCCGGGCCCCCTGCTGTGGAAGCACAGAGTCCTAACCACTGTACCGCCAGGGAAGTCCCTGGATTACTCTTTTAAAACCGTTTTGATCATGTCCTTTCACTGCTAAATAACTTCCAATGTCTCTCCACTCCCTCTGGGATAAAATTTAAACCCACTAACCTGGTATTAAAAACCCTTCATGGGACTTCCCTGGTGGCGCAGTGGTTAAGAATCCACCTGCCAATGCAGAGGACACAGGTTTGAGCCCTGGTCCAGGAAGATCCCACATGCCACAGAGCAACTAAGCCTGTGTGCCACAACTACTGAGCCCGTGTGCCACAAGTACTGAAGCCCACGTGCCTAGAGCCCGTGCTCTGCAACAACAGAAGCCACTGCAATGAGAAGCCCACGCACCGCAACGAAGAGTAGCCCCGGCTCGCCGCAACTAGAGAAAAGCCCGCACGCAGCAACAAAGAGCCAAAAAATAAATGAATAAATAAATAAATTTATTAAAAAAACAAAACAGAAAAAAACAACCCTTGACAATTAGGTTCCAGTCTCCCTGACCTAGGTTTGCCTCCTGCTCTTCGGCTCACCCATTACGATTCCTGTTCTGGCCCAACCACACATGGTCACACTGTATTTCCCGCCTTTGTCCATACTGTTTTCTTCTCATTGTTGCCAGTCGACATCTTACCAATTCTTCAAAGCCCTGAGTAAATGCCACCTTCTTGAAGCTTTTTCTGATCATCCTAGTTGGAAAAGCTAGTGCCTTCCTTCCCTCCACACACATAAACTACTCTTAGCACAGACTGTGTTGTATGCACATCAGCCTCTTCAAATAAGTCATAGATACTTGAAGGCCTATTTTTTACATCTCTGTACCTCCTGGCCCCTAGACCAGTGCTTTGGATAGGGCAGTAGTTCTAATTAACTACTAAATGGAACTGCGAGGGTTATATTATGGAACTAGTCTAACGGACAGAGAGAGTGGATCAGGAAATTGATGTTCTGATTTTGAGCTACCCTGAAGGATCATGGGTATATGACCAAATCATTTAATCTTTTTTTCAACTGCAATTTCTACATTTGAAAAATAAGCATATACGAAATGTACTGTCAGGATACAAGATGAGTATATTAAAGAACTCTGAAACTAAAAATGCCATAAAAATGTAATTGGTTCATGTTACTATGGATGGGATCTTCTCTTCCTAGCTGTAGGCTGCACTGCTAGCTGTGGGGGACTCACCGTGCCCCTTCTGAGCGCAAACTGGATGGAGTCAAGGTCAGTGACAGGGCACCAGACCTCCGCAATCAGGCACTTCTGGGTCACGTCTATATTGCACAGGTTCAAAGTGTGGTAAATGGCCTTCATCTTCCGCACTTTGATGAACCAGACACGGATGTTCTTAGCAGCTGCCTGCAGAACCCTCTGGCGGTGATCCTCCGTTTGATTCAGAACCTTTTGGGAGAGAAAGGAGCAGACAGGGATCCTTCTAACACCAGTCTTAGATTTCAGGATATGAAGGCAAAGAGGCACAGCTTTCTGAGAAGGGCAGGTGGGGATCTGGGCTTTTTCATCCTCTGGCTAGGATTTTCTCTCTTTTTTTTTGGCCAAATTATAAGAAATTAGAGTTCCAATGACTAACATTCATATTCATTTAGCTTCAAGCTGAAGAGAAACCTGAGGAAATGGTTTTTAGCTTTTCTCTCTAAATTTAATCTTACCACAAAATCCACAGCAGAACAATGTAGGTCACTGGCTTTTATCTGGCTCACTAAAGAGCAATGACTTTCCATGTGGAGCCTGTAACTCAGAGTCAAAGAAGTCAGCATCACAGGCCCAGGAGCTGACCAAGTTGTCAAATCCCTACTTAAGAACAGCAAGCTGCAGAACACCCTGAACATAAGCCAGCCTCAGGGACTGGGGGGACAGAGGCACTGCTGAACACCAGCATCTGCCTCTGCCAAGAGAGGCTGCCTGCCAGGAGGACGAGACACCACGGTCTTTAGAGGGGATTTACACCGCCACATACCACGGTCAGCATGGAGCAGATAAGGCTTGATTCTTCTGTCAGGCTTCTTTTCCCCCCAAGAAGCCTGATCCTTTGGAAACCAGTACAGAGTTCCCTTGGAGGAATCACATTGCCAAGAATAGAGTGGGAGGAAGGGCCAGAAACACTTTACATTCTACTACCTTGTTTATCACCAAATATTTAAGATTTCTATAGCAGAAGAGGGGCTAAGCCAAAATTGGGCAAGCACCCCACCATTCACACTTGTGCATGAGAAACTACCTTAAATCTCCACATTTGTTTGAAGGGGAAAAAACTATACATTAATCATTTTAGCTCAAGTCTCCATCATAGCTAGCTTTTCAAGTCAGTTTGGGAAAAAAGTCATCACTGCTCCCTGAGAAACTGTCTTGGGCAGTAGAAAGTAACTTCCATGAGAGGTTGTTTTTAAAAAAAAAAAAAAAAGCCATGGCATGCTAGGGAAACTCTTGTAACACTTGAGAATAAAGGAACAAAGCTACTTTCTTTCCTGGTTGTTGACAATTTCACAATTACTATTTAAACTTCTGGAAAGATGCTAAATAAACTTGCAAGCAATGTTCTATTTGCTTTTCTCTTTCCCCACCAGCCCACGCCCACACATCTCACCCCTTGGTATTCAATCCCTTTTAAAATTTTACTTCACACAGTTTGGTGTTTTAAAAATCAGATTCTAGTCATTTATAACGACTATTGCACATGCTCTTCAAAACCTACCACAAGCCTACCTCATAAGGAGGGGGTAGAACAGTCCTAGAACCCAGAATGTACTAGCATGGCTTATCACCCACCAGCAGTTCTAAAAAAACTCTTCCCTTGGTTAAACAGGTAAGTGTATCTGAAAGGAGCTGGCAACAGGTCAAGTCGGTGGGTCATGTACAAAGGGGGTTGGAGGGAAAGATGAGAAAGGATGCTGAAATGGGAGTTACAACATATCTCTGACAATTTGCCACTGCTGGAAAGAACTGCCTTTGGGATTAAGTATGTTTATTAATGTTTCAAGGGGGCAATCATCATATCCTTTCAATAGGGAACAAAGCTCCAGCTGGGCACCCTTTTCCTTCCATGTGTGCATAAATCACGACTCCCTACTTAGAACCCCATGACAACCATGGTGTGTGCAAACCACACACACTGCAATTTGGTAAATGTTTCTTCTTGGGTACAAGAGTTACACCAGGACTCACTGGCTAGACTCTGTGGTTCAGATTCAAGGTGACCAGAAGGATACACACCAAGCTGTTAAGAGTGGCTGCTCTGGAGACAGTGTGTGTGAGGCAGAATTGACTTGATGTGTACTTCTATGTTATTTGATTTTTTTCCTAACTAAGCATACTTTACTATAAAAATATCTCAGACTCATAAGGAGGGGGACTGAATACTCTAGGCAACAACGATTTCAGATGCATAGCATCCCTGTCTTATTTGAAGATGATTCATGCCATTTTTAAGTCATTCCCCATGGGAGCTGGGGAAAAGTTTCAAGGAATGAATTAAAAATAGCAAAAAAAGAAATGTATCCTGGGCTGCTGCAGGTGCCTAATAAACTAACTGTTCCCGTTCCAAGGAAGAAGAATGGTGTTCTACTGTAGTATTTCACAAAAACAAATTCCCTCCAGGCCTCTGTGTACCATTTGGAGATCGTCAATCCTGGTATTAACTCCAGAAGCCATCTCCTTCCTCTCCTGTGGCGTCTCAGGACAGGGATAGATTGAGGCCCGGAACCTGGAATGTGCAGAAACAGCCTGAGAAACACTGAAATTCCTTAACGTAGCCAATTTAAGTAATCTCAGAAAGTAATGTTAACTTACTAGAAGGACCCAAACAGGATTTGTTCAGACTGATGCACTAATTAATAATAATTGTTTATGGGAAGGAGCCTACAGATAGAGCAGCAACATTTGAACTGTTTTAACATTCTGTGTAGCTATTAAATTCCTTTAGATTAAAAAAAAAAAAGAAAAAGAAACGGTGATACAAATTACATTATAAATTGCTGGAGAAAAATGGCATGGAAAAAAGATCTCATGGGCAGAATTTCAGAAGAGTTTAAGGGCACAGTGCCTATGGTACACTGCTAGGTATGAAGACCCATTGTCCCAGAACAATGTAGAATTTATAAATCATGAGTCCTAACTACTTTTTCTAAGAAAAGGAAATTATGATTTTGACAGTCTAAAAAAATAAACTTAGGCCATTTCTCATTGTTTAAAATAACCTTAACATTATTAAAAGATATATTCACCGTGTCAAGGTGGACGAACAGGGTTTGTGTTTCTCTATTCTCTAGGCTTAATAATATAGTTAGGTGGCTTGGATGCACCCTCGGGGGAGGCACCTTCCTCTTACCCTTCACAGATTTTCTTGACTCTGTTTTTCAGCTGATCGCCTTGGAAGAAAATGATGAACACAGACTTGTGCACGTAGTCTCCCTAGGCCCCAAACCAAAAACCAAGAATTCAGACTTATAATCCAGAAGAAAACTTCTTAAGTAACTTACTTTCTTGGTGACATAGAAACAACTGGAATCTTTTAAGGGTATGGCAACTGTGTGTTTTAACCATTACCCTCAATCCATTTCTTAAGCTCCACTACAAGAACATTTGCCCTGTAATCTCTGATTCGCAAAAATCTTTCTGTACTTGTTTTTCAACTCAACCAGACTGACACAGATGCAAAGATGATTCTCTTCTTAGAAGAATTTTGCCCTATTTACCAATTCAACTTTAAACTGAACAAATCTTATATTGCCTAAATGACATAAGTACAGAGAAGAGGAAAGAGAAGGAAGCCATTCCTGCCTATTCCCATGCTTAGAAACTCCAGATAAAGGGGACTGGATAACTTCAAGGAACTGAGTAGTTGGGAAGAATGTTGATGTAGAATCTCATGATTCATGCCCATTTACACCTTAGGGGGCAGGGAGGAAGGCAATCCATTCCAAATACCAAGTTTATACCTGAAGTATGAGGCAAAGGCTAGAAGGAAAGATCAGGAAAATAAGCTATAGTGGATGTCAACCAGGATTGTCTCTGGTTGCCTGTATTTTCTCCTATTCCTATAGAGCTTTTATTACAGGAAAACAAACAAAATTATAGAAGGATAAAGAGGGAAGAAGAGTGAAGGAGTGAAGAAAGTAAGGCTCAAGAGTCTGAAATTCCTAAGTTCTCTAGGAATAAACTGGAGCACATTCTTTGTGCAGCTGCTCTGCTGTAGATATCCAGACCCTCCCTTACTCGATTTGTTGATAAAATAATGTTTCTGTTGCCCAGGAACTTGGCTGAATATTCCTGAGAACAGCTCCACACTAGGTGTGATTGCTGACTACAATGTCTCTACAACCCAAGGACAGCCTTCAGTAAGACTGTAACACTGCTCCTCAGTGTAAGGAGACACTCACCGTAACCTAAGTGTCACCACACTCCTACTCAGTACCGAGGAGAAGATCCATTTACCAGGATCATTTCTAGTTGTATGACCCACCGACTCTGAGAAGCCTCATAATTCAACCTCTCTTCTTAGGTAGAAAAAAGAATACTAATTTAAGAAACCCAAAAGACACTTGAGAACATAAAAACCAACTCCAGGTTTCTAAATAATACTAATACCAAAGTGAAATAAATATTTTGCAGAACATTTAATCTTCTTTGCTTGTCATCCCTGAAATTAGGACTCACCATTCTAAATGTAGGTTTATGCTAAGAACTCTGTCCCATTATGTCAAATGCCAAGATGCTAACTATTCCTACTTTCCAAAGCATTGGGTGGGGAAGATCATCCCATCTTGTACAATATAAATCTTTAAACTAAGTTCCTAAAACTCCCAATAAACAAGTAGACAAAAAACTTTACCAATTAAAGTTTCATCAGCTTATAAAGATCACAGTTTAGGAAATCTCTCCTCTTTCTACATATGGATGTTACCAGACTTGGAACTAGATGTCTTTCTTTAAGTTAATTTTCATAGAAAGTTAATTTTCTTTTGGTCCCAGATAAGTAACAGAAAACATATAAAGCTAAAGTTTAAAATAACTGGAAAAAACATACTTCTAATCAAAGTAATACCTACACGGGTAAAGCTTGAAAATATATATGTATATGTCACATATACATTGTATGTACACATATGATGGAGGTAAAGAGGAAAAGAGCAGTCCTTCAAATTCATAGATCAAAGCAGAGTAAACCTAAGGGCTCCTCCATGGGAGGGTCAGATTCAGGTGGCATCTGCTGCGTTACTGCTCTGAGCTCCCTTTACAAGACCTACTCCATGAGACGCAATTTCCTTGTCTTACAGTCACAGGATCCTCCAGGGGGTTCTCGATTTCAGCCTGCCGCAGGAACACATTCCCCCGGCACACCCGCCAAAGCATGCGCTCAAAAGTAGGGATGCGCTCCCGGTTAATCACACCAGCCACGAAGCTGTGGGGAGAAGAGCCAGATTGGGAACAATTCCACGCCACGGTATGGGAGGAAAGTGAGAGCAGGGGGCAAAGACGCCAAACAGGAGGATATCCATTGTTATGTCAAAAGGGCTGGCAGGGGCTTCCCTGGTGGCACAGTGGTTGAGAGTCCGCCTGCCGATGCAGGGGACGCGAGTTCGTACCCCAGTCCAGGAAGATCCGCGGAGCGGCTAGGCTTGTGAGCCATGGCCGCTGAGCCTGCGTGTCCGGAGCCTGTGCTCCACAACGGGAGAGGCCACAACAGTGAGAGGCCCGCGTACCGCAAAA